TGGCTGATTTTTTAGAAGAAAATCACTAGGCCTGTCTTCCTAAGACTCCATAGGTGAAATTGAACCTTGTCCAACCTTTCAGTTAGTAACTGAAATATCAACCAGATACTCCCCTTCAACTAACAACAATTTGAAAATATTCTTCATTTTGCCACATTTAGTGCATTCAACTTGGAACTATTCACCTTCAGGTAACACTTCAGTCATTACCTAATTTAACAAATACTAAGTCAAAATTTAACTTGGTATCTGTTAACTTCCAGGCCAAAAATAGTACAATTCAAATGAGCACATCTATTAAATTGCTAATAGATGTACAGTAAATACTTAATTTTTAAAACATCCCAGTAGACTTAGAACATTAATGAAAAATAAGAAATTTTAGTTCCTAATCTTATGTGAAGTTTCTCCTTTTAGTCAAACTTTGTTAGAGATTTAAAAAAATATATATTTTCAGGTAAAAATAACTGTTGTTGTTGCTGTTAAGTGCTGTCGAGATGGTTCTGACCCACAGAGACCCTGAATAGGGCTTCTGAAGACCATCTGTGGTTCAAACTGACTTTGCAGTTCAGCACATTAACTCACAGAGCCATATCAAGGTTCATGTAATAAATGAAAAGAGAAGAAAGGAAGTGTAGAGTTAAAAGCATTACAGAAATTTGAAGCAGGCACATAACTTAGCCAACAGTGTGTAGTAGGGTTATAGCACATACCATGGAATCAGAGTTTCTGATATTTGTTAGTTTTATGTATTTTCACTTTCAGCATTTTTACTCTATGATTAATTCTGTGTATTACTTTTACCATCTTAAATGAGATTTTTATCATAAAAGATTTTTCCTTTAAAGATGTAACTATAGGGTATATCTTTCTGGTATTCTCTGCTTTCAGCCAAGATCCATCGGACATCAGCAATGATATCCCTTGATCCACGTGTCCTCTTCTGAATTCAGCTTGAACCTCTGGAAGTTCTCTGTCAATGTATGCTTGCAGCCGTTTCTGTATTACCTTTGTTGTTGTTAAGTGCCATCGAATCAGTTCTGACCCATAACGACCCTATATAGGGTTTCCAAGAAGCAGTTGGTGAGCTTGAACCATGAACTTTGCAGTTCAAACGGTTTTGCAGTCTGGCGCATATTACCTTTAGTAAAACTTAACTCGCATGGGATATCAAAGATATTGTCCGATAATTTCCGCGTTATGTTGGGTCACCTCTCTTTGGAATGGGCACAAATATGGATCTCTTCCAATCAGATGGCCAGATAGCTGTCTTCCAAATTTCTTGGCATAGATGAGTGAGTGCCTCCAGTGCCGCCTCACTTTCTTGAAAGATTTCAATTTTTATTCCATCAATTCCTGGTGC